CTGACGAGAGAGCCAGTAGATTCTTCCCAGTTACACTTTGCTTGTTTTCTATAAGAATTAAAATTTCAACATTAAAAGCTATTGTTTCTCATGTGCAGAACAGCCTGAAATCCATTTCCACACTCTGACCCAGGTGTTTTGGCAGCCACCCTTACCTACCCGCCGTTCAGAGCTACCACACAACTTCCACTGAAACAGCAAATTCGAATTATTCAAAATTTGCTCCACACCATCTTTTTGTAGACTAGGACTATGTCCCCCAAAGAGTGTGTGCTCTCATTACAGGAGTCCCATCCCGACAAGATTTTCTGAATTAATTACCACTGATTAAGGTGTGATTTAGCATGCAAACTGCCAGAGGCATCTGAAAAGCCCTCTTGTCACATGACGCATAATTTCCTTCGATATTCAAAATAAAATTAAACTTAAGTTCAGGTGAGCAGCAAAGATGCTTTCTTCAAACACAGAAATGTTTTATTGCATCTTTTCTCTCTATTGTATTACTGCTTCCTAGAGTAGTTCGTAACTCGTTTTTCAGAAAGCTGTCTGTAATTTGGTAGTCCAAATATACCCAAAGGTTCCCTTCACCCTCCTCTTACCCCTTTCGTTTCCCTCCCCCTGCACTTCCTGAGCATTCGTCTTTCAAATGGAGATTACCACACCTTGCCTCTGCTCTTTTTTTCAGATAAAAATGACTGTTTCACAACTTCTCAGAAATCGGTGCCAGTGCTCGGTCTCACATTCCTGACCTGTCTGCGCCGTACAGGCAGCCCCAAACCACACGATGCCGATGCCGTGCAGCCGCACGGCTGCGTGATGCGTGTGCATGGGGGGGGGAGAGGAATTAAGGCAGTGTCTTGCCTTTTTCGGATACTTTGAAAACGAATGACAATACTCTAAAAGCTGATGTGATAATGTGAGCAAACGACAGTCATATATAATTAGCTCACAGAAAAGAGACTGGATTCTCTATTAACCACTTGAAATGTTCTGCAGTGGTAGCAGAAGAGAAGACCTCTGCTAGGGAGGAAATAATGTAAGCTGCAACTCTACCTCCAACAAATGATGTTACATATTCCTACGTAACTATACAGGTTAAGATACAACAGTCCAAAGTAGCGAGTCGAGCACGTTGCAGTGCCGTGCGCGGCATGCAATGTCTCTAAAGTGCATTCTCGGGACAGGGCTGGTGCCATGCTGCAAAACTGGGGCTGCTCTTCTCAGGCAGTACAGAAGGAAAGCAGTGGGCAGTGTTTCATCTGAAGGGACCATGACATTTTGTCACCCAAGTCAGGGGATAGCATGGCATTCAAAAGCATGGGTTCAATTTTTGTACTGTTAAAATATATATATATATATAGATTGTAAATTGGGATGACTGTACACCCTGTGCATGTAAGGATAAAATGCATAAAAACCAGCTCAGCAAAAAATCTGCCAGATTATATTACAGAGATAAATTATCTCTAGGTTACCCTCACCAAGATACATGACAGCTGTAAAATCTTTCTGTAGCAGAAATTCAGGTTGCTAAATCCTCCAAAAGTCTCTAATTGCTGGCTGTGTATCATACTAGGCCAGCTTTTGGCTGCGGCAGACTGGAAACACAGCAGACAACTTTCATTTCTAAAACTCCCATTGTTACAGTAACCATTTTTCAAATGTATCAGCATATTGTAACATACAAGAATTCCACCTAATTACTTACAGAGCCCTGGGCACAGGTCCTGGGGGGGCAGCTGCGGCAGACTCGCACCCTCAAGCCCAGAGATGATGCAGGGCACACCCAACAGGGTGCAGACACCTGCATGTCCAACAGCTTTATCATTCAAACTACAGCACCGATGCACAGAATATGAGAACCAAAGCAGAACTGTAAAAACCCCAGAAAGCTCAGTACCAAAACAATCAATTCTTTCAAAGATAGATCTTTCCAGCAGAACCCTCAGTCAAATGATCCTGGCTACGACATAGACAACAGACTTCCAAAACTCAGAGACTCTACAGATATGATAATGTATTTGCTTAAGAATGAATAACCCTGCTTTCTTAATGCATGGAATGGCAGCCTCTCCTACATGTCTTCAGTACCGAAATTTCAAGTCAGTATTTCAGGCAATCTTTAATAATTTTTGGCATATTTAAAACATTGCATTAGCATCCCTATCTGTTTTGTTACAAGAAATAGGGTATAAAAGATACCAGCATGCAATATGTCCTTCAACCAATAAAGAACTATGCTCTTAAATCAGTCGCATGCATTTTGCTTAGCCTTTTATGTCTAAACATTCTTTCCTTCCTAGTATGAATCACACTAAAACAAAGCATTTCGTCTGACCTAATGAGATTAATGAACAGCACATTCTAGGAAATCTTACTAAGTAAGAATTATTAAGGAAAAACCCCTTCTTGAATCAGACACCTCCTTTAGCACTAGGAATTCAAGTTTTCCCCGCTTACGCAGATGTTCTTTGCCTGAATTTCCATCCTAGCATAGCAGCAGCCAACAGCTGATTTCCTGCCCAGAGTATGTTGTTGCTTTGAATGCAGCCACTAGTGAATTACACACCCTAAATCTGACGCAAATAGAGTCTTGAGATATAAGCAGTTATAAAGGAGATTTGATGGGCTTTAACTGCAGCTGAATGCTACACAAGGAACATGCTCTGCAATAACATGTACATCGTATGGATCCTATTTGCTTCCTCGTGATAAAGTGGCAACTTAAGCTGCGAAAATTACTGTCATCCATCTCACCCCATGCATTCACATGCTTGGGAAGTGTAAGTGAATATGCAGCTACGTGTTTTGCAAACAAATATTTCTCCTAAGTTAAAAAAGAGACTACTTTAATGCATTTCGCATTAAATGATCAGGCAATGCATGGAGGCCTGGCATGAGTCCAGCCCATCAAAACCCATCAAATCTGCTTCACAGACACTGAGTTCTCCTGCCTTACAGGCCAGAATCAGATCCATGGTACAAAGGTCCAACACCTCTGAAGTCAAAACGACAGATTTTATTCCTTAACTCAAAATTTTCTTTATTATATGCTCCAAAGGCACCTTCTTTTTGCTATTTTTATGTGCTGACAGTATTTTTTCTCATTTCTCCCACTGGATCTCACTGATCTCACAGTGTATTTATACGAAGCTTTATGTGTGAGGAGCACATGGGTGTATGTTCTATAATACTGATTTATAAATATATATATACACTTAGTTTAATTGAACTTACGTATAGTCCATTCCCCCAGAAGCAGTGCCTACCATGAGAAAATTGTGTGTTCTGCAAAACAGTGCTCATGACTTATAAAGACTGTTTTGTTATTTTTTCTTTTTTTCCAAGGAACTATTTCAAATAAGGAATATTACTCTGAGATAGTTCCTTGAAATATGATACATATTTGCATCGTATATGCCACATTTCCTTATTGTACATTACCAGTCCCTTATATACTTCTACCACATTTCTATTTAGATGATACCTCTTTAAATCTAATAGTTTCTTCTCCTTTTTGTTGTTTTATCTTAATCTTAACGTTACCATCAAATTTTCATTTTCTACTTCTGGATCCTTTCTTTATCTACTTTGCCACAGAGAGATCATAATCCCACATTATTAGTTATGTCACAGTGATATCGAGGAATTTATTGCTGCTGATGTAAAAGGAAAAAACTAATTGATTTTAATAAAGATATACTTGAATCCATCAGCTGGAAATTTAGTCTGATTTTTGCAGCACATTAACTCAGCAGAACTCTTACAATCCCAATCTCTATGCCTGACTGTAAGGCAGCAGTGCAAAACCCACACACCGCAGCTCCCCCGGCGTGCTTTAGCCAACACATGCATCTGCAACAAGAGTAAACGCTTGGTGGCTACTCATTTTGCTCGGTGGGCCAACGAGCCAGTAGTGCCTGTATTGCTGCTGCTGCTGCTGTTGTTGTGGGGACGGGCTGGTGAGAAGGAACAGCCTCACAGACTTCCTCTCTGACCACGGAGCTTGCCGCACATATTCCACCCCGTTTCTCCCACCACAGGCGAGCACCAGGGCCGGCTCAGCATCTCTCACCTCCGTGTACGCTCCTTGCACTCCTCTATCACCAGCCCGGTCTCCGCTCGAAGACTCGTCGTTTCACGGACGCTGCCATGCCCCAGCTCCCAGCTCTCCTACTCCCATCCCCGCCCAACGCGCTGCCGACACCGCCACCCCGAGTCTCACCGGCGCCGAGCGCTCACAGCAGCGGCTCCGCGGGCCGCTCCGCCGGCTCTCGCGTCAGCCCCGCGCCGCCCCCATCCCTCTGGCCCAACCCAGAACTCCTCTGTTCACATCATACTGACGTGCTAAATACATCTTTTCAGGGTTTAAGAAGCGGTTAACAACCACGCAGCAGCTCGGCCTCCCTCCCCCACCTGGGAATGGGGGAGGGAATTGGAGGGGCAAAGGGAGACTTGCAGGTTGAGATAGAAACAGTTTACTAATGGTAATAAAATAAAACGGTGACAGTAATAGAAATTAGAAACGGGCAATGCACCGTGCAGTTGCTCACCACCCGCTGACCGACACCCAGCCCCTCCCCGAAATACCAAGGCTCCGCAGTCACAATCCTGGAAGTGAGAGAGTGCCCCTTCCCATCCACCCCTCCTTTATATAGTGAGCCTAACGTCATGATATAGAATATTTTATTGGCCAACTCAGATCTGCTGCTCTGCCCTGGCAGCCACTGACACCGAGATGCCCACATCGCACAGCAGCACGCTGACCTCTGTGCCGAGCGCCGCCTTCCCTGCGCGCCAGAGACCGATGTCACCGAGACCACCTGGACACACCGGCACCACCAGCGCCCGCCGGGCCGGACCACCCTCTCCTCCTCTCCCCTCTCCCCTCCCCGGCGCAGCCCCGACACCGAGCAGTGCTCGCCCTTCCCGCCTTTTTAAGCGCAGCTCCCTCCACACAGTCCAGTAGGGACGCAAGTCACTGCACCTCGAGACGCCAGGACCGAGCCAGCTGATCTTTATTAGAACACAGGAAAAAAAGACAAAACTACTCCTCCATTTTGTTTCACTGTGGGCACTAAGGCTTTGAAAGCAAGAACGCCACCAAGTAACGGCACCTGTCCCAAGCCGGCATGAGGAGGAGCAGGTGCTGTCATCTCCTAAGGTGCCAGTTCCCCGGGGCCTGCCTGCTCTTGGCAGTGGCACAGTGGGGCGAAGGGAGAAGGCGGTGGCTGCCCGTGAGGCAGATGCCGGGGTGGTTGCATTAGGTAGTAACTTAGATGAACACGATCCAGCGGAACCCCGGCACTAGAACCCACTGTGTCACTGATTTAAGAGGCTTGTGAATTAAAATACCCTTGACGGGTTTGGCTCACTGCAGCAAAGGGTGGTACAACTTTTAGCTCAGTTTTTCTTCCGTTTCTGCTGTAAACAACAGCACAGTGAACCTACTCTGTGATTTGGCTGGAAAAGCCCAAGGGGTTTTACTGGAGTTAGACCTAGGAAAGGTGTTAGCTTGTCCGGTTCTGTTTTGACTTCAGACCTCAGGCTTGCTAATAACGGAGAACTCGACACCGTGTTTGTTGAGGCGATCAATCAGTTTTGTTTTGGAGAAGGCAGCGCCCGGAGAATATACGCCACCCCTGTTAATGAAAGTCAAGAGAAAAACGTTAGTGGTGCAGTGACTGAGTGACACCTTGGCTTGAAGTCAAAGATGTGCTTCCCTGGCTAAGCAAGAAGAAGCCACTCTGTCCCACAGGAGAGAGCGTACGAGGAGCTTGGCAAGCTGGTTATAGTCACAGGTTCGTTTCTGAATCCAGCAGAAACCGTTAACTGAAAATACAGATACAGGTGCGACAGATGCTGCACAAGAGCGTTACTGAAAACCTATGACCGCGTCCTTCCAACTGAAAGGCAGGCGAAGAATAAGTGGCTTTAACTCAGCTTGCGGTGAAGAATCTCCCTTGCACAGCCAAATGGGCGAGTAACAGGGAAACCCACTGGGTTATGAGGTCTGTATTTTCAGAGAAACGTACGCAGACAGAAGCTTTAAGCGAGGTCATGCTGTTCTGCACAGGAAAGTACTTACTCTTTGGGCAGACAAGCTGCATCTTCCAGAAGAGATACAGCTGCTTGAACCATCGCAATTGGCGTAGCAATATAGCCAGGCTCTGAGAGGAAGAAAAAAAAAAAAGAAAGAAAATGAAACAAAAAAACAAAATCAAACCAATCAATCTACGGTGTGTTGAAACGTAGCATGTAAGCTTGCTCTTACCTACAGCAAGCTGAAGAATAATCTCTTTGGCAATGAAACAGCCTTCCCCTTTTAAGACCAGCTTTTTTACCTGGCAGTCATCCCAAGTAGCTGGTGAAGCCCTCAAGATCTAACCTGGACACACACTGCTTCAAACACAGGCCTGCGGCCACACAACCACCACGAGCGGTCAGCTCATGCTGACAGAGGGCTCTCCACTACAGCAAGAGCTTTCCCCATCCTGTGCTTAAATTTGGACTTTTGCTGTGAGACTGCTGCATTCGGCTACATCTCCAGTTCTTTGAAGCACCTATGCTTCACTAACGCCTCTCTGAATGGACACGCTCGCTGTCTCCAAGCTTTACTTCAGGTATCGTCTCCCCTCCAAGGAAGGACCCGAAGACAAGTACGTTACAGCTAGAAATGACACCACGCCAGATTTGCTTAAGTTCACTCACAGGGGACTGGAGAGAAACAAGTTTAAGTCCAGGCCGTAACAACTGGAAACTACCCGTAACGCACTCTGCCTGGAACTGCTCTGCTCTACTCTGCAAAAATGACAACTGGAACGGAGAACGTCAGAAGGAAAGAGAATGACGAGAAGGCAAAGGACTTGGCTATTTCAAAAACCAGGTCACAATGAATGCTAGTGCCCAGGGTGACAGACACTCTGTAAAGGCTCTTGACCTTACTCATATTGCAAGAGCTCCTCGAGGGCGAAAGGCACAGCAGTGAAACCATAAACCTGGTTGAGAGTAGGGAATGTGAGGCAAAACCAGCCAGCCGCTACGAACATGCATACCTGGCCCTTTCACTTCGGTGCAGATCTTTACATTCGGTTTCCCATTCTGGGGATCTTGCCCCTCACTGTAACCCTCGCCAAAAAAAGTCATCGTGAAAGAGGTTCCATCCATCTGTCGTGGGCAAGACAAGCGTGGTCACCAAAACAGGAACTCACTTATATCAGGCAAGCACAAGTAGGAAATACAAAGGTATCTGTTACGCCAAATACTGTGATCCGTCTAAACAGGAGAACAGTAATTCTGAGTTACTGCTTAAAAGGTACAGTCTCGTCTGAATCTTTAATCACTTCCACTTGGTTGGAACTGTTACTGTTCTAAAGTCCATTTATTCTCTCGGTGCTTTCACTCCTGGGTTTTTCACTCCTCCGCCATCACCTTCGGCAGACTGAGTGCTGGGCCATCCGTGTAAATATATCAGACCAGCAACAAGATCCATTTTTCCCTCAGAGGAGGTCCACACACTTTGATGTCTAATAGCAGAAGGCGCGATTATTTAAATATTCAAATCTATCTGAACAGGCGCACACAATGTCCAATTAGAAATTATTTCTCTGAGACTCTGCAGTTGACTCTAGATTACTGCTCCACCCCTACCATAACAAACCTCTTCAATGATTGTGATGGAAAGCAGCCAGTTACCTGTTTCTGGGTTGGTCCTTTCCTCGAGAAGCGTCCAGCAGAGAAAAATTCCGGGTACTATATAGTAAGAGGGGAGAGGAGGGGAAAAAGAAGAAAAAATGACAACCAACAATCAACTAGAGGGGGAATAAATTAATCTCCACCCGCTTAATTCTTTTGTGGTTTGAACACTTACTTTTGTCAGAAGTTTTCTTCCAAAGCTAAACTTCACAAGAAGAAGAAAAAAAAAGCCAGCAAACATCAGCTTGATAACAGAGCCAAGGCCACCTATGTTCATGTAAGCGCCAAACTGCACCTGAGGCCAAAACATATTTTCAGTGACTGAACTTACATTAGGAGTTTTGCATCAATTCATTTCATGCAGATGTTCACGCAAACTGAGAGAAACCGATCGTAACAGCCCTAGTAACACGGGCTTTTGCTCAAGCATTTTCATGACACTCTCTCTCTTCGCTGAAAGCAAACCGTTCCAAACTTATCCCTGGCTCAACCCAAAATTCCACACACAATAGATCTACCCCCAAATTAGGACGCAGTTCTCTGATACAAGACAGCTGTTTGAACAGGGCCTTGAACAACTGTTTTAGTTCTAAACAACCCTTTGAATAACGCTTCAGAGTTCATTATGAGAAGACAGTGTAACTGCAGAACGGCGAGGGAGCAAGCATGGTAAACAAGAGCAGAAAATCTTAAAGCAAGATGCGTTTTGGTATCTGATTTCAGGATCCTTTCCCCAGATCTTCCTTTCCTCCTCTTTGTGCTTTAGCTTAAGAGAAACCGAGGCCCGCCTTGAGAATTCCGGAATAGCAATGGCAAGCCCTTCTCATCAATAGTTTCCAAGTACACTTTTAGAGCGCTATCTCACCTCCGTCTCCTAACCGATGCCTGCGGTTCTGCACAGCTGTTACACAGATTGTTCGTGCTGGTCTCCTCTCAGGAAACCATGGAAAACAAAAACCAAGCGTCTTTTCCACCCCCACCGCTTCACACTGCCGTTACTCTGCACACCGGAGACCCGAGCATCAAGGCAGTCTCCAGATACAGAAGAGCAGCACATGAATTCCTTATCAGAATGTTTACTACACTGTACTGACCTGACTATAGTTACACAGACCACAGTTATGACACTTTTAGCAACTCTGGCATAGAGGGAAAAAAAAAAAAAAAAAAAAAGCCCCTGTACAGACACAGAATCTAATGTGTTTAACGTTCCCCAAACCCACGAAGCCTACTTTTCAAGCACTTCTGTGACTCAAGGCTTCCACCCCCTACAGATACACACCCAGACCTCAGAGAGCTGGAGGACCCTACAAGAGACTCTCACAACTACAAGGCTAGCAGCAGTGAGCAAGCTCATCAGGTAGCATATCACATAGCATGAAACAGGCCCGTGCACCCAGAGGAACCTGGAGTACATCAGGGCAAGCAGCTTCCAGACGTGATCAACAAAACAAGTCTCCTCCTTTACAGAAGCAAAAGCATGTCGCAGTTCATTCCTATTTACCTAGCTACAGAAACCCCACTACACAGATCTGCGACAAGAACAGTTATCACCTAAAGGGAAGATTTGCTGAAAATGGTAATAAAGACATAGTATACCAGTAACAGTAACTTACAGGTGTTTCCTGCAGATGTGTGTGCAGGTAACGCTGAGATCGCTTCACAACAGAAACATCAGATCCCATGAACGGAATGGAGTACTCCTTGAATTCCTGATTGTAAAACACACATCCCCTGCAAATGCAAAAAAGAAAAATCAGAAAGTGCAGATGTTCACGCAAACTGAGAGAAACCGATCGTAACAGCCCTAGTAACACGGGCTTTTGCTCAAGCATTTTCATGACACTCTCTCTCTTCGCTGAAAGCAAACCGTTCCAAACTTATCCCTGGCTCAACCCAAAATTCCACACACAATAGAAATTTGATAATCAAAATAACATTTTCCTCATTCTACTGATCGCTTCTGAAATCAAACCCGAAAGTCTGCCCTGTCACTAAAAGGCTCTTAGAACAAGTTAACCTTGAGACTCAGTGAGTGCTGGGACATGTTCTTTTTTCAGTAACATAGGAATGAATCGGTAAAGCTGAACTTGTCTTCCATTCCACTAGACGGGCAGCTATGTGTTCCTACTATACTCAAGTCCTAAATGCATCTTTTCAGCGTTGAAGAACAGGTTAACCATCTATATGAGAAACACTGGAACTGTCAAAAGACAGCCCGTTTCACATCTTATGCTTCTTATACCTTCTCCTAAGTTTGGCACCAACCACTGGGATAGGGGCATAGCCTATCTTTTTTCGAAGCTTCCTCAGGTTGTCTTGATCCGCAAGGCCATAAACAGCTGACTTCCAGGTCCCATCATGTATACAGCAACCCTGGTGACACATCAAGAAACAGCAGTTAATTTGGTACCTGAAGGCTTCGTGTATTATTTTAATAACGAGCTCAGAATTATTACAGAGACTACACACTATTACAATTCTTACATGCGTGTGTTATGATTACATGCATTAAAGTACACCCGAGTGTGGTGGTTTGACCTGGGCTGAAGGACAGGCGCCCACCAGGCCGCTCTGCCACTCCCCTCCTCGGTAGGACAGGGAGTGGAGAAAAGAAGCAGCAAAAAATCCTCTCGAGGGTCAAGTTTAAGAAAGCAAAAGCCAAGGCCGCACGTGAAGCAAAGGAAAGCAAGAAATGTATTTTCTCCTTTCCCCTCAGCGGCAGTGTCCAGCCGCTTCCCGGGAAGCGGGCCTCAGGACGCACAGCCGTAGCTCCGGAAGACAAGCGGCGTAATAGCGCGTTCCCCCCGCCCCTCCTCCTTTCTCTCAGCTTTCAGTGATGAGCAGAGGTCAGGCGCTACGAAATTCCCCTCTCTGCCTTCCAACCATCCCGCCGTAGCTCATGCTCATTACTGAAATCCCTCCTTAGCACCACTTACAACTCGTGCTCCATATATAAACCACCTTTATACCCAACATACAGATTTATACATTCTCCCCAACTACTATCCTCTGTCCTTTAACAGAGAGATATTACTCTCCCACCCCAGGGGACTCTCCCCGACTCCTCCAGATGTTCCTAAGAACAGGCTACGCCTTGTTCCCCGTCTGTCAAGAGGCTTCTCAGGGCAGGAATGCTCCACTATCGGGCACCATCGCCGGCTTGGTCTGGGTCATCACTGCGTTATTTTAGTAACGACCTTAGAATTATTACATACCTCACACGCTGTCATAATTATTACAGAGACGCATTATGATTACATGCATTAAAATATATTGAAACGACCCCACCCCCAAACAAACGATAAAGAAAACCCAACAAACAGCCAAATGCTGGGATTACCGGCAGCACGCGATCAGTATCGGTTACAGTTTGTGTAGGAATCCTTCCCACATCTCTGCAAAAAACTGAGTATTTCGTGAAACAGCTTAGCAACACAACAAACTTCAGGGAGACAGCCTATGCAAACGAGCCTTACAAAAGCCTGTTTGCTTGGGATCCTTTTAGGAGCTCCCAAAGAACAAAGTTCTCAGATTTCATCATCAGCGAACTGCCAGCTCGTTCCTTGGTCTGAATTAATGTAACGACAGTTATTCTCATGGGCTACAATGACGTTACTGCCAATGCCTCTGAGTTTCCAGGAAGGGATAAACTGACTCACCTCAGGCCCATACTTCACTGTCAGGAAGCTTTCGACAGCCGTTAAGGTACCTTTAGGGAAGAAGAAAGCATTACTTGGCATATACACTGTCCTTTGTTCCCAAAGCCAGAGAACACTCTGGCAGACTCAAATAGCAGGCCACTGGCACTGTTAGTTGCAAAGGCAGAGTGGCATCTTTGCATCAAAGGGCAATAAACTCAGGTTAAGTCCCACAGCTCTTTCCGTTAGCAAGTATCACATTTCTTAGGCAAAGTACTTCAGTGGAGGTCACCGATACTACCTTTACTCACTACAGTTGTAATTTGTCTTATCTAGTCAGTGAGATAATGTAAATAACCAACCGGAAAAAATTAAACAAAAAATATTAAGAGCTGTATTTTCTTTTCCTCCGAGTTTCAAGATAAAGGATGATGTAGGCGGTGGAAACCAAGATGGACTCACAGATTTCTGCAGACCTTAACTACAAAGAAAAAAAAAACCAAACCCACAAAAGCCCCAAAACACACAAGATAACCGAAAACATTCAATTTTAGCACAGCTTGTGTTTTGCAAAGAATGCCGAGTTGGGATGAACAGCAAGATACCACCACTCCTCCAAATTCGGCTTTGCTTTGCTCAGCTCCTTCTGAGATTGTAAAACTGTACTCGTACGGGCAAATTTCAATCTAGCAAGCAACTGGAAAGACGGGTGATAATACCACCACGTGCTATCAACTCTAGAGATAAGGAAGAGATAAAAAGACATCTTCAGCCAAAAAAAGGTATCGGACATCAAATCAGAATGCCATGACCAACCACATACTCATTTCCAGGCCTCTTCTCCCCCTCCAATCGGATTCAGATAGAGTTTTCTTAAACTGAAAGTCGATGATACGCTCCAGCGTAAAGCAATCCCACCCCACAGCAGTCTTAATAGTCCATAAAAGCAAAACACGTGGGTTCTCTTATCGGCCCTTCCAACTGAAAGTCAGACCCAATGAACACAGTAGCCTCACTTCAGATTGGGAGCAAGCACTATCTGCATAGAACCACGTCACCTCACATCTTTCCTCAAAGATTTATTGATCTACTTCTGTATTTATCCTCTTTCCATCACTGTCCAGCTGCCCCTCAAGAAAAGGGCGCTGTATGGCGCCTTCGACCTACTTCCACTAGTACAACAGCCTCTCCGTGCTGGCAGGAGCAGAAGAACACCGAGCAATCTGGTCACCCACCGCTTTGCGATCCCTTTCCCGCAGCCCTCCTGTCCCCACTCTCCCCTCCCTACAAGACGCTCCCCACGCAAGAGGCAGCGTGCCGAGGCCTGCCCAGGGACGTCCACACGCCGGCTGGACAGCCCGCTGCTCAGCACTGGGGGTTCTGGTCTCTCGGGGAGCGACGCGACCTGGAATCCCTCCTCTGCCTGGCGACCAGCGCCCTCCAGTCGAACGGGAATAGGATTTACTTTTCAATTTTTATCTACCCGATTTGGATGGCACTGGTCAGCTGGTGAAGGCAGGCAAAAAGAGAGACCGAAGGAACTGCCACGGAAGCACTGCTGCTTTAGGAAACCAGTTGAAAGCATAACCTGCATTTCTTTTTCAGCGGAAAGTCACACTTAAATAAGTCACCTTTCAGCTTGTCTCTGGTGTACAGTACTCCCATATCGGCCGGTATCGTGTCAAAGCCACAGCTTCCAATGATGTACACTCCCTTTTCCGCAGCTTTTTCGTTGTATTTCAGGTACATTCCTTCCAGAAACTACAACACAGTCAGGACAAATAGTTGAAGCGGAACTCTGTGCCTGGCCATACCCAACGGGAGCCATCAGCGCTTTACAGCCCTACCACAGCTCCCTACCTGCTTCCAACCACTTACAAGCATCTTTAGGACAGATACGTATTACTCCTGCTTTACGGTATCACAGACTCACAGCAGGGCAAACAAGTGTGATCCACACAAAATTCCTGCGTAGAATCACCACTGAGACTGGAAGCAGAACTCACAAATTCTGGATTTCCAGAGAGAGCCCAAGAGGCTCTCGGTCAAAAGTAAGAAAGCAATGCAACTAATAGACATTAACGCATGCACTACAGTAATTATCGCATCTGAAAACTGTAGCTCAGGAGGTGGAATTTGTCTTGCTGTGCAAATGCGTTTGCAGACACAGGAAACGTACTCAGAGAATGCTCCTTTAACAGACCCGTCACCGAGGGCAGCATTTTTCTACTGGCACATACCTGGGGTTCTCCGCAGATGTCAATGCAGTTTGCACCATTGTCGACACAGGCTTCTACCATGGGCTCTCCAAGGAACCTATACTGTAGAAGGGAAGGACACCACACGTAACAAAGCAAAACCCACACACCGCAGCTCCCCCGGCGTGCTTTAGCCAACACATGCATCTGCAACAAGAGTAAACGCTTGGTGGCTACTCATTTTGCTCGGTGGGCCAACGAGCCAGTAGTGCCTGTATTGCTGCTGCTGCTGCTGTTGTTGTGGGGACGGGCTGGTGAGAAGGAGCAGCCTCACAGACTTCCTCTCTGACCACGGAGCTTGCCGCACATATTCCACCCCGTTTCTCCCACCACAGGCGAGCACCAGGGCCGGCTCAGCATCTCTCACCTCCGTGTACGCTCCTTGCACTCCTGTATCACCAGCCCGGTCTCCGCTCGAAGACTCGTCGTTTCACGGACGCTGCCATGCCCCAGCTCCCAGCTCTCCTACTCCCATCCCCGCCCAACGCGCTGCCGACACCGCCACCCCGAGTCTCACCGGCGCCGAGCGCTCACAGCAGCGGCTCCGCGGGCCGCTCCGCCGGCTCTCGCGTCAGCCCCGCGCCGCCCCCATCCCTCTGGCCCAACCCAGAACTCCTCCCCACGCTGCCCGTGGACGACTTCAAAAGCCACCGCCAAAGCCCTGCTGCAGTTCAGCGGCAACTGGCCCACAGTTACGCCACCCGCAGCGGAGGCGGGAGACCTTCAGCGGCTCCAGGTCCCGGCTCTACCGTCGGGTCCGTTCCCAGAAGCTCCGTCTCCTCGGGACGGCTCCCGGAGCCCGGCGGCAGGTTTCCCGGCGGCCGTGGCCGCCCTCCCCTCCCCTCCCCGCCCCTCGGAGCCCGGCCGCCCGCAGCGCTGGGAGCGGCGGCGGAGGGGCAGGCGCCGGGCCGAGCTCTGCCGGGAGCACCGCCCGCCTCGCCGCACTCACCGGGCCCACGCAGTTGAGCACCAGCCGGGTCTGCCTCGCCATGGCGGCCAGCGACGCCGCGTCGCCCACATCGCACAGCAGCACGCCGACCTCCGCGCCGAGCGCCGCCTTCCCTGCGCGCCGGAGACCGCCGTCACCGGCAGCGCCGTCACCGGCAGCGCGCGCCCGCCGGGCCGGGCCGGGCCACGCCACACCACCCCCTTCTCTTTTCCCCTCCCCTCCCCGGTCCGCCGTCTCCCCGGCGAAGCCCCAACACCGGGCGGCTCGCCCCTCAGCCCTGCCCCTCACACCCGCCCGCGGGCGGCTCCCGATGGACGGGGCCCGGTCTCGGCGGCGCTGCGCCACACGTCCCGCAGCCGCGGCCCCTACCCAGCCTCTCGGCCGCCCGCTCCAGCACCGCCCGCAGCTTCTCCCGGCTCCGCCCGGCCACGGCCCAGCGTAGGCCGCCGCGCAGCTCCCCGCTGGCCGCCACCCGCGCCACCTCCTCCACCACGAACTGGCCGGTGAAGCCCGAGGCCCCGAACACCACCAGCTCGTAGGGCCGCTCGGCCGCCGCCGGCCCGCCGCCTCCAGCCGCCATGGGGAGCGCCGCCGCCGCACTGCCTGGCTGCTGCGGGTACCGGCCGCGGTCACGCGGGCCCGCCCCCCCGCGGGGCGGGGCGGGGCGCGCCAGGGCGCGCGGCCCGCCCACGGGGCGGCCGTAGGCGCGCGCTCCCCGCGGCCCCTCAGCCACGGCGGCCCGGCCTTTGCCGTTCTTCCAGCGGCGGGGGGAGAGGTGCTGTCGCTCAGGGGATTTTTCGACATACCGTGAGCGAAGGAAAGCGTACCGAGATATGGCCAAGAGGCTTTGCAGCCCACGGTTTAAGCAGCAGCGTTTGTAGAGGGATGGCGTCACTGTTGGTCTCGTAGCATACATTTTGTCTCCTGATGAACACAGCTCGTTATTATGAGTTATTGCCATAATCATTTCAGCACAGCTGGTGTAGATGAAGTGACATCTGTTATTAATCGAAAGGAAACCCTTAATTGCCTGGAACTAAAATGAAATGCTGTGTTTCCCCCCCACAACTACAGCAAATACTTGATGTTTTGCTCAGCGACAAGAGCAGAGTTACACAAAATTTGAAGTTCCCGTTGCAGTGGGGAGAAGCAGTGACACCGCAAAGCCACGACGGTAAGGAGCGTTTGCGACCGTGGCACGGTGAGGTACAGTCATGTTTCCTGTGGTTTTTATGGCCAGGCTGCTCACCTGTATTCCAGAGGCTCGCAGCAAGTCACACATGAAGCAACCTCATGAAGCGTGCTCACTGGCCCTTTTTCTTGGGGAGCATCTGCCATATCTAAACCGTTCCTGAGAGATGCCTGTCCAACCTGTGCTAAAACCTCTGGTGATAGACCCTTTCACACTGTTTCCCAGGCAATCTCCTCCTGCACTTTGTTATACATAGTGCTGGAGACAAGAAACTAGATCTCCACATCCTGTAGTTTCAGCCCCTCACTATTTCTCCTGTTTATAGAGGACATTGGTAAAAGATTCAATATCTGAAGAGTGTATAAAAAAGATGATGCAAAGCTGGAAACTGATACGCATTTCCTCAGTCTTCCCTACATTAAAATCTTGTGATCTTTCCTCACAGGCCACTTCATACATACATTTTTCCTGTTCTCTGATCTGTCTCCAGCTGGTTTACATTTTTCTTGAAATCTAGTGCCCACTACTTGGCCCCACAGTTGCATTGTCAGTGCTAAATTGATTGAGAAGGTTATGTGATGTGCCAGAATTAGCCCCTGTTTCTACATGCCCCAAACATTTGTGGGTTTTTTTTGCAAGTGTCATATTGTTGATGTACCTGCAGCTCATGATCTATTCCACCTCAGAGGATTTTTCAAATCACTGCTGCCTAGCCAGTCTTTTTCCATTCCAGATTTGTACAGAAAATTAATGTGCTTTCTGAATGCATTCTAAACATCTCATCCTCAAGGCTGCAGGAGATCCTTACCTCTAAGCAGCAGCATCAACTCCTTCAGTAGTGCTGATGCAGTTGTTTGTAGGCCTACACTATCAGCTGCCTCAGTGAAACAACTCGGTCTAACAAAAAACAAAGAGTTGGGGGAGGGAAGGACAAAGACGGGTTTTGTGCTCTTTTTTAATCCAGATCATTTCATTGATCTGATTTCCAGAGCAACCCTGCAAAATCATTTTTTTGTGTTTGAGGTCACTGAACATCTCAGAAGTCAAGCTGGTCTCTTACTACCTTCCCATCCTTCCTACACATTGGGATAATTTCCAGCTGTGCCTGTAATACTGTTGAACTCTGAGCTACTTTCTTGTTCTGCTCAGTTTTCTGCCACCAATTCACAGAGTCTGTTTTCTTCAAGACCACTGTCTTAGGTCATCCACTTTCCCTTCTCCTTTGCAAAAGCTTTGAAAAAACATTGCAACAATAAGCAATAGATATTTTTTCCCCCATTGTGAAGTTAACAAAAATCATTACTTCTTCGGACTTTGCAGTTTTTCAGTGACAGGAGACTGTAAAGAGCCTGCGAATTGCAGAGGGATTCTGACCTAGCTCGCAGGTCTGGCTGGGATCCTCAGCCTGCTTTCTTCATCCCTTTGCTCCAGAAGCTTGCCTCTCTTGCCTCCTCTCCTTCTTACGTATTATCCCCTTTTCATATTTAATCCCCTGTCACTCCCAGAAAACACAGCAATTTATAAACCTATGACTCTGACTCAACCATTTATAAAGAACTGGGACTGCATAAGCTTCCTCGGGCCATATGTATTTGATAAGACCTGTATTGTGGTGTTAGGCAGTGGCTTAGCAAGCACAAGCTAGTATGCAGTGCTGAGAACCCTGTCTTCTCTCCGTGACTGAAATTTTACACCAAACTTGGCAGATTTATCCTGTTTGTCAATCCACAACTCTCAAGATTTCATCTACACTTTCAACGTCAGTTACATTTCTTTAAAACACACCTGCTGGAGAAAGATAATTCATGTAAGTTGCAGCTTACACAAGCAAGAAACCAGGCTTTCAGAGTTGCAGAAAGACACCTTAAAACCAGCTAGAGGGACATCAAAACACGAGGCAAACCTGTTTTTTTTTTTTTTTTTTTTTTTTGCTTACATAAAATATCATGGTAGCTCCAACTCATTTTTTCTGGAGAGAGAAATGTGGTTGGCAAGTGGAAGAATTCTGTTTGCAGACATCTCTATTTTCATTCCAGCTCACTGGGTTAAAAAAAGAATAAAAATCAAAGTCTCCAAGCCAGTTTACATTCCTGCCTGTGAAACTAACAAGTAGACAGGTAGGTTTCGAAAGAGCAAACATCAAGGCAATGACAAGGATCCAATTTTAAATGGAAAGCTTACAGCAGTCCTGACTAAAGGCAAAGGTTAACCTGTCTCCCTAGTTAGTGTCACCAACGCAGGATTGCAAAAATTATTCTGTGGGAAAGCAGTAGGATGATCTACAGTTTTCCCTTGTCCAATAGGAAGACAAGAAATGCCAGATCTGCTGCCAAGTGCAGTTCTGCAAAGGAGGTTCCCACCTGAATCGGCTTTAGAAGCTCACAAAAAAAGATACTGCTGTTTCTTTTAAAATCTTGTTTTTCAGATTTGAAGGTGCTTATTTTTTCCATGTGCCTCTGCATACAGATACTTAAAGATTTCAGTACTTTATTTAAGGCCTTGTTTAGACAGACTGCCCCAGTCTAAAATGACTTCAATTACTAGAGGTCCCTGCCATTTCTGGGCGGACAAAGAAGCACACAAGCATATGCACGCACACACACATGCCACACCTTCACAAATTCCTTAAATAAAAAGGGGCATGTCTCCCTTTGCTAGCTTCTCCTGTTCCACCTGGAGCCTCTGGCAGGATCTGAGGAATCTGTGTAAGCATTTCTAAGAGCACTTGTATGTCTCTTCATTTCATACAGTAGGTATTCTGACAAAATCCTTTCTATCAATATTTATATATTTCTTGGACACCAATATTTGTGGTAAAGTTTTTTATACTCATTTATAACTTTAGGGTACTTTTTGTTTTTTAGAGTGGGAACGCAGATGTTCCATTACTGCTTTTTAATTGAAATAATAATAAGGTAGCAGAAAGAGTGCAATATGATGTCAATTGCACAATGGTGTATGAAGGCAATTTTTTTAAACACAACATTGTAATTGTCTTGTACCCCAAAGGATCAAATAAGACCATTGCAAAAGTTACTTGCATCATTGCAAAAGTTACTACAGAACACATGCAAAATAGAGCATAAGAATAGAGCATAAGGGTAGGCAGAGGTGTTGGGAAATAAGGTTTATTAACAATGTGTGGATAATTCACTGCAGGGTATGACAAATTATGTGGGTGAGTATATAAGGGATTAATAAAAAAAAGGTAGGCATCTCTCTACCTGCTACAGTTACTCAGTACTGTAAGACCGTGAGAATAAATGTTTCTGGAACAAAGCCCACAGTTCTTAGTGCCGTGATGTATCTTCACCTTCATTTATACAGGATGTTACTTTATAGACAAGAGGCAATATCCTCCAAAAAGCCACCCCATACAGAACTTAAGAATTTGTAATAAACCAAACCATTTAGACTGGGACAAAAAAGAGGAAATTAAAAACTGCAGAGAATCCAACAGTTGCTAGCCATGTGTGGCAGCTCTGATGCTTTATTTATTGTATTTTAGTTTCTTTTAAAATATCACCTAACCTTTTTGAAAAAAAAAAAAAATATAGAATCATTTAGGTTGTAAAAGACCCTTAAGATCATCAAGTCCAACCACAAACCTAACACTGCCAAGTCCACCACTAAACCACATCCCTAAATGCCACGTCTACATGTCTTTTAAATACCTCCAGGGGATGGTGACTCAACCTGTTCCCTGGGCAGCCTCTTCCAATGCTTGACAACACTTTCAGTGAATAAATTTTTCCTAATATCCAATCTAAACCTCCCCTGGCACGACTTGAGGCCATTTCCTCTGGTCCTGTCACTTGTTACCTGAGAAAAGAGACTGACCCCCACCTCGCTACTGCCTCCTTTCAGGTAGCTCTAGAGAGCAATGAGCTCTCCCCTCAGCCTCCTTTTCTCCAGGCTAAACAACCCCGGTTCCCTCAGCTGCTCCTCATAAGACTTGTTCTCCAGACCCTTCACCAGCTCCATTGCCCTTCTCTGGACACGCTCCAGCACCTCAATGTCCTTCTGGTAGTGAGGGGCCCAAAACTGAACACGATTTTTGAGTTGCGGCCTCACCGGGGCTGCGTACCGGGGGACGGTCACTGCCCCAGTCCTGCTGGCCACACTATTGCTGATACAAGCCAGGATGCTCTTGGCCGCCTTGGCCACCTGGGCACACCTCTGGCTCACATTCAGCCGGCTGCCGACCGACACCCCCAGGTCCTTTCCCGCTGGGCAGCTCTCCAGCCACTCTGCCCCAAGCCTGTAGCGTTGCGTGGGGTTGTGATCCAAATACATACATGTGTAATATTGTATACATATAGATATTCAAACAAATACATATTCAGCCAAGTAAAAATAATAAATGAGCAAAGTTATTTCCACCTATTTGCTTATTTCGAAATTGGGAAATTACAAAACAACAGATGGTAGCCTATGACACCTGCAGATCCCACCCT